ATGACTTAGCAACTGAGCAACAACAAATACATACATATATGTACACACAAACACACACATTTGTGTGTGTATTTATATTTATATACAGATAGGTATATACATACCTGTAGTTTATTGCCCAGCCTGTCCTCGATTATTCAAGGAATATGAAAGTCCTTATGAAGACTTGTACATAAGTGTTTATAGCAGCTTTATTTCTAAAGCCAAAGTAAAAACTGGAAACAATCAAAATGTCCATCCATTGGTGAACAGATAAATAAATTATAGTGTATCTACATAGAAAATACTACCTAACAATAAAAAGGAACTAACTCTTGAGTCACACAACAATATGGATGAATCTCAAAACAGTTATATTGAAGAGAAGAAACGAACCCATTAAGGGTATATATTGTTTGATTCCATTTGCATAAAATTTTAGAGAGTCCTAACTAATCTAGATGAAGATGGTGACTGCAGCCATGAAATTAAAAGACACTTGTTCCTCAGAAGAAAAGCTATGACAACCCTAGACAGCATATTAAAAAGCAGAGACATTACTTTGCCAACAAAGGTCCCTATAGTCAAAGCTATGGTTTTTCCAGTAGTCGTGTATGGATGTGAGAGTTGGACCATAAAGAAGGCTGAGCACCAAAGAATTGATGCTTTTGAACTGTGGTGTTGGAGAAGACTCCTGGGAGTCCCTTGGACTGCAAAGAGATAAAACCAGTCAATCCTAAAGGAAATCAGTCCTGAATATTCATTGAAAGGATTGATGCTGAAGCTGAAGCTCCAATACTTTGGCCACCTGATGTGAAGAGCCGACTCATTAGAAAAGACCCTGATGCTGGGAAAGATTGAAGGCAGGAGGAGAAGGGGATGACGGAGGATGAGTTGGTTGCATGACATCGCTGGCTCAATGAACATGAGTTTGAGCAATCTCCAGGAGCTGGTGAAGGACAGGGAAGTCTGACATATTGCAGTCCATGAGGTTACAGAGTCAGACACAACTGAGCGACTGAACGACAACTAACCTAGGAAGATCAGTGTTTGCCTGGAGATAGGAAGGTAGGAAGGGACAGGAGGGCATGATTACAAAAGAGCACACAGAAACTTTGGGGGTGGTTTTCTGGGGGTGAGAGATCTGGATATATGTTCATTATCTTGGTTGTTGTGATGCTTTAAAATGTGTACACATGTTTCAAAACTTAGCAAATTTTACACTTTAAATATGTGCCTGTCAGTTGTATAATGTTTTATAATATTTTCAGTTATTTCCCATTAAAGTTGTTTTTAGAAATTACAAAAAGAGAAGGAAAAAAAACCTAAGGAAAACCCAAAAGTTAAAATGATGAGTAGGGAATGACTAAGTGGTTGTTTTAGAAGGAAAAGGTGAAGGAAGACCACTCAGTGTGATCCATGGTCTAGGTAAAAATGGCAGGTGTGTGGAAAGGTTATATGCAGCTTGATGAGCATGTTCTTCATGCCCAGGGCTCTCCCTGGGCTCACTGCATACTGGTGCTGGTGCTGATCTGGTTTTAGGGCCCTGAGATTACTTCCTACTCTGGCCAGGATTATTGTGGAATTGGGTGGGATTAAAGTTTAAACTCAATGTCCTTATTGCCTATAGAGAAGAGAATTTGGGAAAAGAAAAAGATGGTAATTAAAAAAAAACTGTTGCAAGTATAATTTGAAACATCTGTATTTACAAGAAAAGATTTGGTTTAATTTAGAAAGGAAGGAAAGAGATCCAGGAAGAGAAGGAGGAATTTAGGGTGGGCAGGAAAAAAGGAGGCTCTCCATACAGATGAGGATTTTTGCCTTTGTATTGATGAAGCTTGACTTTAAGAAACAAAATCTATTGTTAGGCTATATTTTGTAAGGACCAGGATTTTTAGAACTCACTCACCTCTGGGTAAGTTTATCTTTTCCAAAGCATCTGAAATGCTTGTGTTTTGTTTCTTTAAAAATACAACCATATTTCATTATATAACTAAATATCCTCATGTGGCACCAACTTTTTGCGATAAAAATTTTCCCTCTTAAGTGGTATTAATATCATGTGATTTTAGCAAAGCTGTGAATTAAGACATTGCCTTTTATATGCTAAAAATAATAGAACTAGCACTTAAGATAGCAACCTGACAACTCACAAAGAATATTATAAACATATCATGCCTCATTAGTTCAGTTATGTCTCATTTGGTGCCACTCATCTTATTCAATATAAGAAGTGCTTGCACTTCTTTGTCTTTTTTTTTTTTTTCACTTATTTTTATTAGTTGGAGGCTAATTACTTTACAACATTGCAGTGGTTTTTGTCATACATTGAAATGAATTAGCCATGGATTTACATGTATTCCCCATCC